GTGCAAAAGAAGTGTCGCCGGAGTGCAAAAAAATGCAAGGCACAACAAACTTGTTTGTCAACGTTCGAAGGCGACTTCAAGTTGGTTTCTAGGAGTGCTAAGAGGGTCTCCGAGTGCAGGAGGTGTTGAGTGCGTTGCCAGACCCTCACGTAGTTGTCTGTGGCCACGAAAAAGTTGCATAAAGTCAACAACTTTCAGTGGTTTAGTGATGTGAAAGTTGCTCAGCTTGAGATGCTGCTGCTGGATGGCCCTAGAAGGTCAATTACTCGAGAACTTGGCTTAAAAGGCGTGACAGTACACAATCGTTGGACAGGGTTCGGTGTTAAGAAGAGCAATGGACAGAGAAGGGTTAAGTTTTCAGTCAGCAACTTCTGTACGATTGCAGCACTTTTCGGGCACTCTATAAAATGTCTCTCTTGTGCCAAAATAAATCCTAATTGCCAGCCTAAACAATTATATTGTCTGGCGAATATCAATCAAAGTTTTGCTGCGCCAAATGCCATACAACTTTGCAGCTTATCAGCGAAAAAAACAAAAAAAAAACACAAACTACACAATCAACAAAATTAGCGCAATTTGCAGAGCAATTGCAATGGCGAAGGGACTGCAATTTAGTTAAATACGATGCCATATGCAGCCATCATCAGTGCCCAGTCAAAGCTAACCATGTTGGCCCTGGCAACGACCCAAAGCACACGCACACGACGTCTGCCCACATTTAGAGCCAACACAAACCCAAAGCATGCTTATAGGGACGTGTGGTTTTGAGTGAAATAAAATTTAATGCCATCAACAGACGTAGAGCAGGGGGGTGGAAATGTGTTCAGAAAAAGCGTGTGGCAAAGTGGTTAAAATGTTTGCGGCGCATAAACAAGAATTGTTGCCACTGTGCGGCAGGGTAACACGCTAAACCATTAACTAAACAGCGGCAAATAAAACAAAAGCAGATCCATGGAATGCAAAACGAGTGAAGAGGCCGCAGGGTGGATGCCCTTTGGGGCAGTCATTTATCATTTGTGTCTTTAAACTGGGGCAGATTGGTGATGTAAGGTTCAACTTTAAGCTGCAGCTTGAGCTTGCCCAGAAATTCAAGTATTCCCTCGTCACTTTCCAGATTATGGCCTATTTAGTTTTGTATAATTTAAGATTTAATCTCTTGTATTATAAACGAACTTTATGTCTGTCACGGCAATCTATTTTATTCTTATTTGGAAATAAATTCTTTAACAAGGGCAAACTAGAATGTTTACTCTTCATAACAAATGCTGCGCATTATGAAAAACAATTGGTAAGGCCACCATCCACCATTCACTAGTTAGTCGATCCGTTAAATGTCCCCAACCACAAAGCGAATTAAAATTTAGAACCTTGTGCCCAATTTCCTAATCGTATTGCTGGGGAATGTTTTGCCCACTCACATGCATCCGCAGGGACTGTAGAACAGCTGTAACCCAAAAATAGCGGCACTTAATAAAATAAGCGTGTGGCATGACCGACCCACAGCCATTCCCACAGCCCCTACCCGCCGCACACATGCAAAATCCCTGCGTTGGACCCACATGTTGTCGATGCATAAAACAATTTTCCACGGAAATTGCAGTAATTAACTTTAGTACCTGCTTGAGTGACATTCTGCCATTGTGGGTATCTCTGCTGTGGGTGCTAGTGTGTGCGGATGGGGCAGGCCAAAAACAGGAAGCTCAGTGTGGAGTGTGTTTGCCTGTCGTTCCGTTCCGTTCCGTTCCGTTTGTCTGTCTGTTTTGTGCATTTCGGATCTGCTGTGTATATGTTTTTCTAATTCAATTAAAATTGGCAGCAAGCGCAGCAAAAGCGGAGATAGGGAAGAGGAGCAGATCCAGCAACAGCAACAACAACTCAGCTGCAGTGGTGACTCATTAGGAGCTCTGCACTCTGCACCAACGCCTGACCGTGCAAGCATATGTTTACGCTTGTATTGGTGTTAATGTTAACTGTCAGTACATTTGCCTGCCGCCTTTTCAGCTTTTGCCGCCACCACTCATTCCAGCAATCTTTTCATACCCTGTTGTGGCGCGGCGTGCGGGTATATTGGTTTTACGATGCGAAAGCGAAACATAATATTTATATTGGAACCTGCATCTCGATTGACTTTTCAACTATGTCCAGCTCCATTTAAGTCTACTTCAGTTGGTGGGTACCTGTACCTCATGGTCGAGTATACCCTTTTCGGCTCGCATTAACTGCTCTGCTGCTCGCTGCTTTTGTTGCTTGTTATGTAACAGTAAAAACATGCCAGACCAGCATGAATGCATGCATATGCAAGAGTGTATTTGTGTGTCTTTCTGTTGTTGTCTTTGTTGCTGTTGTTGCCGCTTGCATGACTGAGTGACCGCCTGATGGGACGCCGTTCCGTGCCTACTGGCTGACTGGCAGGCCCTATAAATAATTGAGTAACAAAGCCAGCAATTTTTTCAACATCATACCCATATTTATCAATGATCCTAATTGCTGCGATGTCAAAATAAAAGGATTTTATCTTTGTTAAATATATTAGAAAATATTTTATATTGATATAAAAGAGCTTCTGATTTTCGGAAGAAGTGGTACAAATATGAATAAGCAATTCGAGTACAATTTGTTGTATCCGTTCAGCGCATGAATATTTAATGAAGTTCGTTCAGAACAGTGCAATTGTTTTTCCTTAATTTTCCTTCATAAAATAATTATGTTCGTGTTGCAGTAATGCATTTAAAATATTTGTTGCACCTTAGGCCACCAATTGTGTTCCCATTAATTAAAATGCGTGAAGCAAATCAAATAATACGGAAGTTCTTTTCCATTTTCCATGCAGTTGTTATAATAAACAATTGTTTCTGCCCCAGAATACTAAATTTTAAATTCCGCATTCGACTGGCCTTAAACCGCATAGAAACCAATTGAACAAATATGCACAAGAAAGGATAAATGTACATATGTATATGTATATGTGCCGAAATGGATTTCTGAGTACATGCACAGCAAATGTTCAAATGCGAAATTAATTAATGGACTTTTTGGGGCTTTCGGGACACTGCTTGCTGCCTGTGCTTTATCCTATTCAGCCGCTTGTTTGTTTATTATCGGGTCTTGCCACAAAATAAATCATTTTGTGGCAAAGAGACAGCGCACTCAGCCCACAATTATATTCTGAAATAGGAAAATTTTAAAAATTCTTCCATTCAAATATATTGGGTTCCTTTTTTTTGTCACACAAATTGCTTGCCCACTGAACGGAATGCCGGATGTCTCCGCTGAATTACTTCTGTTCAAAACAACACACACACACACACACAGAAAGTAGAAACTTAATTATAAACTTGAAATTATTCGGGAGGGATGTGTGGGAGGGAGAGTGCTAATCGCATGGAAAATAACTAGTGATAAAATTATAGAGAAAGTGACTGGAAGAAGAAACTTGCTGAATAATTTTCATAATTTATACTCCAGAGTGACAGAGTTTTGTTCATATATTTTTGGCGAATGACATCCAATGTTAGATCTTTTCAAGGCTTCCAATGATCCCACTGACTGACTGAGTGAACAATTAAATCCACACATTTGTACACACAAATACATAATTTTCGAATTACGAGTTCACAGAATAAATGATATGCAGCAACTTATTCAAGCATTTATAATCAGCCCACACACACACACACAAAGTTATTTTGCCTGAGTTATTGTCAAAATTATCTCCAAAGTCTTTGGCATAATTATGACGAGTTTTAGTTTTTGCCGCCCCATTATCTTGGCTTAGGCCAGAATGTTCATTTTAATCACTCCCACTACCTCTCCGATGTGTTTATAGTTGTGTGCGATTAATGAAGGGTTAATAAAAGGCAATATTGTTCCCAATCTGTGAAGGGATACTCCCAGTTTTGATGTGATTCTGGGGGGGCTTGGCAGTTTATTTGCTCGAGTTGATTTGCCCCCAACATTTTATAGCCAATGATATGATTTAATTAAGCGATTTGCTCACATGAGAGCTTGGCGATTACTGTGAATAATAATTCCATTTTGTTGGGTTTCGGGTCCTTTGAGATTTCACATAATTGTTGGAAGGAGAAAGTGGTTTTTCAGTATGTTTTAGTTAATTTTGGACAAGGCTTAGACCCGAGCATATGACGAGAATAGATAATTTCTTGTTGTCATCTTGTGTGTTGGATTATTTCAAAAACGATTTCTCATTGTTAAATGAAAGTTTTCAGCGCAGCTCTCTGGCCGTTCCACAATTCACACCGAGCGTATAATTGAAACATCGTGACTCGGCGCTCGGCTCTGCCTCTCTCATATATTAAATACAATTTTATTAAAGGAAGGAAGAACCAGAGGAGCGAACATAATGTGAAAACTAGACGGAGCAGCCATTATAACTTTTGCTTATAATTTATGACGGCACTTGCGGCACTTTGCGCTGAATTATATTTATTTTTTGTATTTTTTCGCTTCTTTCATTTTGGAACTTTTGCGTGTCGGCCTTAAGATGAAATTGCCATTGTTGCTTGGGCAATGTTTCGACATTTGCCGCCGAGATACATTTGCGAGATATGCAGACAATTGAAAGCCATTTCCTGCTGGAACAATCACTTGAGCATCGCTCGGCGACTGTCCCCTATGTGTTGGGCTTATCGCGGAAGCAAACTGAAACATTTTGTCAGAGTCTCAAAGCAAGCTCATTGCAACGTGATGCATCCATGCTTGGCATCTATTAATATCTGTGTTAATCTGCATGAAGCGATATTCATTTACACAACACAGTGAGTATAATAGAATTTAATCCAAATTATTCAATTTATTGCTACGAAAATGCCTGACGGCTTTTATTTTCATCATCATCAATCAGTCTGATTGAAACTGGAACGAACACACAATTTTAATGCACATTTTTGCAGAGATCAACCCATGACGGTCAGGCTGTAATCGTGTTATCACAGCTGACAAGTTTTGAACCCAAAGAAATTGATTCTAGTTCCATTTGAGCGGCAAAATGAAGGTGTTCCTCTGTGTATTTGCACTTGTATCCTGTGTCTTTTATGTGACACATGGTCAAAGTTTAGTCAAAGGTTTGTAAACATAAATTATGTTTTAATATTTAAGTTGAATTTTGTTGAAATTTGCACAGCTATATGTCGTCAGGGCACTGGTTCAAAGTGCCTGAAAAATGACACCTACACTTGGAGCAAGAGCATGAGGAAGTGTCGGTCAGTGCGACTGAAATCCGCTCCCTGCGGATTCTTCAACATTCTGGAAAGATGCAATGAAGTCTGCTCTCGCCAGTCCATGTCAAATGACGAGTTGAGTGTTTTTATTCAAAAGTACGGGGAATAGTGTTACCGATGGGGAAAATATAACTGGTTCAGGCTCTAACAATTATCTACCAGATTGTGATTTTGTTTTCACAGAGTTTGTTCAGAGTTCATCAGGGAGGGAGCATGAGACCCTGTCTGCTGTTGTCTGGCTTGCTGCTGCCGCTAATGAAACATACTCCACCAACAGCACTTTATTTCATCTGGTCTCTAACCAGCTCCTGCCGAACACCCATTCCAGTGGCAGAGTTTAGCTCATTTTCGCCGGCTCGGCTAAAGTTTTTGTGTCCTTCGTTTTATTAGATTTTATTTGCTTAGTCTTTATTTGTCTTTTGCCATCGTCGTTGTCTTCCTTCTGCCCAGCATTACGGGTAAGTGTCCAATTTTACTTCGGGTCCTCCACTTGCCGGTGCTGTTTTCGTACCCAGCTCTGGGGTGGACTTTTACTGGACAGCGTTTGGTCATTTTAAAATGAATTTCTTTATTTACTGGCGCGGTACAGGGTAGCAAAGGAGTGGAGCAATTTATTTGTTGCTTGCCACAGCAGAATCCATGTTGCTGGATGTTCCCTCTGTTTGCTTTGGCCTTTTGTTAGTTTGTTTTGTGCAGAAAACTTTTGCTCAGCCAGATGGCCACATATGCCCCGCCAAGGCTTCAGAGGAGCAGCTCCCTCCCTGCAGAGTATTCTTTGTCCAATACTCGGATTTGTATGCCCTTGAAGCGGGTACCAGGACTACGGCAAGAGTATCCTCAGTTGGACATCAAACACAAAAGAGTGCTGAAACCTGCGACCTACGTGGCCGCACTTCCTTTGCTGGTTCTTCGTGTAAATTGTCAACACAAATTATGACAATTAAGTTGACTGTTGACTTGTTTGAGTTGTCTGCAAACTTGGGCTGCAATTTGAAAAACTCTCGAATTGCATTAGATTCCTGCCGAATCAGTTGCCGGCGAATTCAATTAGGGGCACGTACTCCTTACACCAACAAAATAGCTCTTTGACATCACATGGCCTCGTGCTTAATTTTCGTTTTAATCCGTGTGCCGTGGCATTGGCTCTGGCAGTGTCAGCTGAAAAGTTTAAGGTGCCTGACAGTGGCACAGGTGCCGGCCCCCGGAGGTGTTAAAGGTGGCTTGCAGCCACAATTGTTCATTAGATTAGCAAGTTGGCACGAAAAGTTTTTTGGGGCCCGGCTCAAATGCCACTTTCACGGCTGCCGACACTCATTCACTGCCTTTGGCTGGTTCTTCTTTTGCCTTTTGCCTTTTGCCTTTTGCCTTTTGTCAGTGCAGGAGTTTTATGAATTTTCTTATCGAGAGACGACAAAAATGTACGTGGCACAAAGTGGCAAGTTGTCACAATCTATACGAGTGCTCCTTCCCATACATCTCTCTCTCTCTCTCTCTCTCTCTCTCTTTTGGCCCCGCTGTCTCAATTTGTCATTGAAGTTGCCGCTGGAGCTGGCGATAAGAAAGTTTTCACTTGATATAAGCAAATGCGGCCATTGATGGTAAATGTTGGCAGTTAGTCTCCATCCCACACTCCACTGCGTGCAGCCTTCGTTCTGCTGCAAACATTTTAAATATTTCATTCAGATTTGTGTTTTCTCTTCAAAGAGGAGTTTCCTAATGGGACTGTATTTTACTGTATCTCTTTGACTAGTGGAAATGAATGAAAATGCTTTAGCCACATTTAGAGCAATTCAACTTATCGGGCACTTGACGACCAACGAGCCACTGGGCTAAGAACTGAGGTGCGTAACGGAGCACTCTGCTGGAGCAGAGTGTGTGTTACATAATTAAAACGTGGCGCTCAAGGTGGCGAGGCGAGAGACAAACTATGAAATAAACCAAGACAAAAGGGCAGCAAAACCACAGAGAGATCGAGGCAGAGTCAGAGGCGCATAAAAGGAGTTTTTATTACCTGGTAGCCGGATGGCTTCTTCTGCTGCTTGGCCCCGTGTGCCCTCAACCTGAATAATAGCCAGCGCGTCACAATGTCCTTTTCCGGTAATAATTCCACATTTAGCCCCCTGTCGAGTTGCCGAGAATGCGGCAACCCAACACGTTCTGCCCGCCTGCCCCCCGACTAAATTAGCTGTGACGACAGTGGGGGATGTGGATGGCTTGCCCATCGCCATCTCCATGCTTTTGGCGGCTTAAGACTTGCTCCTACCTGTACGCGACTCTGTTCGTCTCCCTTCGACTCCTCGTTATCATTTATAATGAGTTAATTACATTTAATACGCATGTCCAATGGCCTGTTGAACACGGTGCACAATTAAATGTGACCCTGTCCGAAGGAGTGCCGGCAACAATAACAACAGAGTATAACGCGGTTGACGGTCGCTGGCTGCGTGTAGCTGTGTGCCACTCTCATGGAGCTCAACGCTTTAAGCAGTCGTTGCGTTTAATTGCTGCTTTGAGGTTTATTAGCTGCTGATTGTAAGCGTAATTACATTTGCCTAAGCTGCTCAAATAGTTCGCTGTGCAGCGTGGGCAGTGGACTGGGGAAAACTACACACTAACATGAACCGGAAATGTAGCCCTTTAAGAGTCCATTTGTAAGGCAAAGGAACTGCCCCTTTTCGTTGCCTACTTTTAGGCGCGGCCATTGGCCATTTTTTTCCGTATACGTGACAGCCGCTTGGCAAAATCCATTCCCAGCGCCTCTTGGCGACAAATTCTTTGCAGACATCTAAGCATTTAACAATTTCGACCACTCCCACTTGCATTCCCATTTTGGCTGCCGGCCATTGCAGTGCTCTAAATGGAAAAAACTAACCAAAAAAAAAAAAAAAGTATTTTTAAACCACAATTTCTGCTTTCGTTGGGCAAATAAAAATTTGTGCTTTGTGCCTCCTGTTGTGCCTTGTGTCCCGGCTCGTGCCACTGACAGCTGCAAAATTTGTGCGCTCTTGTTCATTTGTTTGACTGCCCCATTGTTGCCGTCCGTCCAGCTGAAAGTGTGTCTGTCCGCGTACGGCTATGGGTGTCCGCTTGTTTGTTGTTATGCCAAAAATTGAACACACAAAGCAATTGCTATGCAACATTTGTGCAGACATGGCCAAGAGTATACAAAAAACCATCGAACGAACGAACGAACGAACAAATAAAATTGTTCTACAATTGAACGAGTGAGCGTACAAAGGTTCTCTGTGTCCGTGTGTGTATCAGAGTATAGATGTACTGGATCGTTTAATAGTTTTATGGCCGGCCAAGAGCGGTATTCGATGCTCTGTAATGGCTGACATTGCGGGGGGTATTCAAGTTGAGGTAAAGATGGCATTCGTTTAATAAAAATGCATTTTAAAAATAAAAATTAAATGTTTTATGCTTAGAGAATCATTTCATGGCACTAATACCTAATTCCCCTCCTATGCCATTAAATAAACACCCAAAGTACAGGCAACTCCTCAGTCGAATTCGCAACTTTTATTCCTTATTTTGATGGAAACATTTTTGGCTGGCACATTCGTTACTTGTCATGTCATGTGGTCAATTGTTTATTGTTAACATGGTCAATTCCACACCGCCTCACCGCGCTACACTCCAAACAAAAACCATCAAGCAGCCAATGTCTTGCCCAGCCCAGCCCCCACCCAACTGCCAGCCACACTTCCTTTCTGAAAATATCAAATTGCTTGGATTTCTTTTGATGCGGCCCGAGAATTTATATATGTATCTCAAGCAATTTGGTGGCTTTGGCTGGCCTGTCCGCACAGTTCGCATTCAGACAAATTAATCCGTTTTCAGCTGTCTGTCATGGCTCAGCTGAGCGACAGACAGACAGACAGACAGACAGACAGAGGGAATGGCAAACACTTTAACACTTTAAGCAAACTCAAGTGCAGCTGCTCGGACGCTGGAGCATTGCAGTTCTGGCTAATTAGAGACAAGGATTGTCGGCGTGATGTCGGAGCGTTTTTGGCTGAAAGTGCGTCAAGTGCTAAAATGGCTAATGCACTTTACTGCTCGCTCCAGGGCAAAGCTGCTCGAATATTTTATCTCCACACACACACACAAAGCACTGACCGACTTCATCAACAACAAAGCTGGCGCAAATTTCAATGCGTTTCAAGGCATAAAATAAATGTCCACTCAAAATGTCTCTGGCATTGTTGTTGCTGCTGCTGCTGCTTGGCTACCCCCAGCTCTCGTACATGTCTCAAGGACACTCTCTCTCTCTCTCTCTCTCTCTGGTCGGACCAAAGTGAACTGAACTGGACTGGCCCAAATCGCTGCAAGTGCCTTCAAGTCGTTGTCAAATGCAAAGAGCACAATAATTCAAATTTATGACGCTCCATTCTGCTCATCTGCACGCACACGAAGGCCCACACAGGATCCGTTTTTGGTCCTTTTCGTGGGCATAAATAAGGCAAAAGTTGTACGTGCGTCCAGCTAAGTGGGCGGCCGCTCGTCCGAAGTATGCAAATTTACTAGCACAAAAATTTGGATAATTTGTGGTTGCCACCGAACAATTATCTGGTTTTTCCTTTGTCGCTTTTTTTGGACTAGGTGAGTGAAGAAAGTGAAGCTGTTCGGAAATTGTCTGCTTTTGATTTACTGACTTTGTGGGACAGTGTCGTAGAATCCGTTAAAATTGGTTTCCTGGGATCAACCTCCTTCGACTTTCGCTGGACATGAAAATGACCAAATTGAATGCAATAAATCTGTGGAACATTTCATTAATTTCACATCAAAGCTATCCGGCAAATTGCATATTTGTTTAATTGCTGCACATCAATTCAGCAAAGAAAACCCAAAAAAAAGGACACATAAAACAGCGGCAGAAATCATAAAAATAGCATTTAGTTGAAACAGTTTTCCTGTGTGGCATTCAATTAGATGACCAGCACACTGCATATGCCATGGAAACACTGAAAAAAAAAAACTAAACACGCACAAAGAAAATATGCGCCGAAGAACAATTAAAAAGCAATATCTATGGGAGGTCAGCGGAGGCCAGAACTATTATTTTGCACTCGAATGTGCTTGCGGATTTATAAACAAATGCCAAACAAATGAAATTTGATTTATATTTATGCACGCAAAAAATCAAGCGAC